ACGTAGGTGGGTGGATAATATTAAAATGGATCTTAGAGATAAAATTAGGTGGTATGCACTGGATTAATCTGGCTCAGGATAAGGATCAGTGGAGGGATATTGTGAACACGGTAATGAACTTTCGGGTTACATAAAATGCTGGGAAATTCTCGAGTAGCTGCACAACTGGCATTTTCTCAAGATGAACTCAGCTCAGTGAAGTAAGTTAGTTAGATTTTTTTTAATTCGCTTAGTGGGGGGTGAAGTCAAACTGGGTCCACTCGGCACGGCGGCCACTAATTGGCCTATTGTACCTGCCCCGAGTGATTATGATGATGGAGAATTTGGTGTAATGAAGATTGGCAGGGGAAACCGAAGTACTCGGAGAAAACCCGCCCCAGCGCCACTTTGTCCACCACAAATCCCACTTGACCAGACCCGGGATCGAACCCGGGCCGCCGCGGTGGGAAGCCAGCGACTAACCGCTTGAGCTATGGCGCGGCCTTTGTTAGTTAGTTAGTTAGTTAGTTAGAAGATATCCCTGGAGTGCTTTTAGACATTTGAAACCATGCATGTGGTCGAGTTAAAGCCAGTTTTTTCTTCGTTGCTTTGTCTGTAAGCAGACCTTTTGAATCGTGAGAACAATAACATCATTGGTAGGATACGGGGGGAACCCCCCACCCCCCACACACACACACTTCCTTGTGTTGTTACTGGTCTCGTCTGGTCTGATCTGGCCTGGTAATTTTTTGCTGACCCCCGCCAGCACACTGATTCTAAGTTCCGAGTCCCGCTGGGATCATAACCGTACTTTACTCTTGCTGCGATATGGAGAAAACCAAAGCGATATTCTAAAATTGCCAGAATACGAGGGGAAGCCGAACGGATATCTGCCGTTGTTACGTTGTTCAAATGTATGTTTCATACGCATGTACGCAAGATGTCTCTGTCATGTTAGAGGTAATAATAACTAAGTGTATTTTGCTGTCTCGTCTCCAAAATGCAGGGAAAAATTATGACATAAAGATATATAAAGATTTGTTAAAAATGTGACACAATTCAGAAATTTTGGAACGACGATAACAGATCGAAACCTGATTCAGGAGGAAATGAAGAGGAGATTGAACTCGGGTAATGCCTGCTACCATTCAATCCAGAGCCTTTTGTCTTCTCGTCTGCTGTCTAAAAACATAAAAATTATAATATAGAAAACTATAATTTTGCCTGTGGTTCTGTAGGGCATGAAACTTGGTTTCTACTATTAATGGAGGAACATAGACTGAGGGTGTTTGAGAACAGGGTGCTGAAAATATTTGGACCGAAGAGAGATGAAGTGACAGGAGGTTGGAGAAAACTGCATAATGAGGAACTTCATAACTTGTACTCTTCTCCAGGTATAATTAGAATGATCAAGTCAAGGAGAATGAGGTAGGCAGGGCATGTAGTATGAATAGAAGAGGAATGGATATAGGATATTTCTGGGAAAGCCAGAAGGAAAGGGACCACTTGGAAGACCAAGACGTAGGTGGGTGAATAATATTAAGAGGGCTCTTTGAGTGGTAGAATGGGATGGTATGGATTTGATTGATCTGGCTCAGGATAGGGACCAGTGGAGGGCTCTTGTGAACACGGTAATGAACCTTCGGGTTCCATAAAATGCTGGAAATTTCTTGAATAGCTCCACAACTGGCAGTTTCTCAAGAAGGTCTCAGCTCCATAGTGTTAATTATTATGTTCCTTGTTAGTCAATACGGAGATTAATATCGTTAAATAACAAATTAGTGAGTTGAATTATGTGGCTATTTATTTATGTAATTGATGACTACCATCTTGTACGTTATGATGTGGTGTAGCTAATGGAAAGATAGATCAAAGTAACCTCCTGCCCCCTTCTTCAGGGCACTGAACATTGCTACTTACAGTACTAACCGGTGCCACATCCCAGAAGATAGTAATATTCAAAATAATATTTTAAAATATTTACAATAATTAAATTTATTAATAACCTGTTTTGTGAACCTATGTCTCATGTTTCCGCCTAACCTCAAAGTTTCGATTTAACCTACTACATCCTTTCAAAGGTAGAATTAATTTATTTCCTGAAGATGGAAGCAGTATATTCTTCCAAATCGTTTGCCGCCTGCGAGATTACTCGATATATTAAACGAGAGTGCCTTAGTTTTCTTTTCCATCTATAATGCAACACACTTATTTTAAACGACACCAAACTTACATTCAACTCGTAAATATGTTCGTTAAAATGTTCTTAAAATGTCGTTAAAATATATTCTATGTCTGCCTACACGTTTCGGCCTCACAGGGCCATCTTCGGGCAATGTATATTGATGGAAACTACTGCACTGTGTCCGCTTATGCGAATAGAACTCGTTGATGTATGTCATGTTTTTCAATTTTTGTGTTCTGGGACTGTCGGCTCTTTTCCATCTTCGTATTGTGTCCTCTTTATGCTCCTTTGAGTGTGCAATGTCCAGGTGGCGTACTTTGTACTGATACACACGACATAGCCAGACATGGAATATATGTATATTTTAATGATATTTTAAAAACTTTTTAACTGACATTTTAGCGAGCTGAATTTAAGTTTGGTGTCATCTAAAAGAGAAAGTGTGTTGCATTATGGAAGAGAAACCGTAGGAGTTCTACTTCAATGCAAGAAGATGCTGAAATATAATATTAAGAAAACCTTGATTTAAATATTCGGCGGTGTTAAAACCTAAATTTTCTTTGTTCAGTCTGTCCGTCAGCAGGCCGATATAAGAACATTTCGTTAGTAAAATCAAAGGCTTGCACTTTGAATATTGGCCTGCATCTGCCATAAAACTTGTCTGTTTTGAAAGTAAAACGAAGAGAAGCCGTTAAAATCTGACACAACCCACGCATTGCGAGACGGAAATAACAAGACAGTCGATTTAAAAACAGCTCACACGGCGGTGCTCAAGACTTGTTAACGCATCGACGAAGTGAACGCCCAAATAAATTCCGATATTATACACACTTCAAGCTGATTGATTGATCAGGTTAATGCTGTGGCAGAATTTTATTCGTGAGATCCCCGGTTCGAATCTCAACGGAGACAGCCATTGTACGGATTGATCTTTTTTTGGTTATCCTTAATTGGTCACTTGCTGCTTGTTCTTTCTTTGTACTTACTTGTCTCACTCTTCAGACCTTAAGATTGAGAGTGTATATGTTTCTCCCGAAACGTCCATGTGTACTTCTATCGGATTACCCGGCCTTATATCCCAGAAGCTATTACTCTTGACCTTAAAAAAGGAAAACTATGTTATGAAGACGTGTGGAGGAGTAACGTATAGATCAACATTTTCTTGATCTCAGCACTAGCTGGACGTGAGTGGTCAGCTTCACTCCCCGGCCGCTTTACCCCCGGCGAAAGAGCTCCAGGTACCCATTGGATAGGAGGCTAGTTGGGCCCACAGCCGGTTTGGAAGACGTGGGGAAAAGAAAATTCTTGACTCTACCGGGACTCGAACTCCGACCCCTCATCGTGCAGCCCGTAGCCAGTCTCTATACCGACTACGCTATCTCGCCTCTACACATTAGCAATATTTACTGAAGAAAACGGAACGTAACGCTCATAAATACGTTATTTTATCTGCTCTGCTGTTACGTCCTCTTGAGTCCAAATATTTACCTCGGCAACCCCTTCACATACACTCTACCTCTGTCATCTCCTTTTGAATTGTGCTAACAATATATCTGCCAATACATCTTATGGGAACAGAGTGGACTCTGGTATTTTTCACCTTTACATCGCTGACAGCAGCATTAGACTCCCGCTAGGAGTGGGAGTTCCGTCGTCAGCGCCTGGAAGCATTTGTTTCTTTTTTATGTTAGTATCGAAATGTTCGGTTAGATGGATCTGCTGAAGGACTGGCATGGCACGTTGCCTGCACTCTCTATATTGGAAGGACGTAATTCATATAGCCGTTTTTCAGGTTCTGACTAAAAGAAGTTTATTCTTGACACTCTTTATGTTTCGAAAGGTTAATTTTTATGTACAGCAGCGTTTAAACCACATGTATTACACGATGTTACAGAAACTGATGCGAAAAAACGTTGAGTTCTCGAGAGATAGATGTTTGAGCACTTTGTAAAATTGAAAATAAAGATTCGGAAATGTTAAGGCCAAGTTTTTCCCGTGCTTAGTTAAGCACCACGCCATGAAGACGTATGGGAAGTGGAGGTACAGTTCCACGCATTCTTAGCCTTTGAACTCGAGAGGTCAGCTCCATGCCCCGCCTATTTTTTGCCTGAGAAAAGAGACCCCGGTACCCTTTGGACAGGCCCCAGAGCCATCCTGAAAGCTATGGGGAACATGAAAAGTCTTACCCCTGTCAAGACTCGAACCCCAAGTTCTCTTCCGGCCTTTGGCGTAGCCTCTGTACTTACTGGGCTATCCTGCTTTCCGATATGTCTAAAGTATTGTGGCACGTAAACCAGTTGCTAAACAATGACGCGAAATAAGCCGCCATACAACAGCCGTTGCTAGGTAATGAAAGCAACAGACACGCACGCAACAGTGGAAGAGTTGTTGGGGTGGTGTTCTCTGTGCGGTCCGTGCCGGGGATGTATAAAGACGGCCAGCTGCCATCAGAGTAGAGATACTTACCTGACCCGAGAAAGAATGATCTGGCAAGAGCCAGCAGCATGTACAAAAGACAACTTTGACAGAGTAGAGTCTTGAGTCAGCAGTGAAAATAGGAGGCGGTTGGTGTGAAATGGCCGCCAGTCTGCAAGGACGTGATCCCGAGAACAGGGGAACGTCCGCTGGTGTTGACAGAGTAGACTGAGAAGGCTTTGTGTGTGATGCACTGAACTGCAGATTAGGTGAATCAGCGATAGCACTATATTTACCAGTAGTTACGATCTGTAAGAGTTCAATAAATCGAAATACCAATCAAAACCCCGTCTACAGTCACGCGCATACACGTGACAGTATGAACTTGAAGAAACGTTGATAACTAAAGCATTTGACTCACCGATTGAGAAGAGAATTAAGCTTCACGATCCAGCAGCTTTAGCCCTGGAGAAGGCGCTCCGGATTGGAGCCTCTGTGTACCCTTCAGCTGTCGTGGACGCTGTGAAGAAGAGAGAAATTCATCGGCTTTGGCCAAGATAGTACTTTGCGTTCTCTTTCATTCAGTAGCGTAGTCACGAGGTCCACTGAGCTATCCTAACCAGGATAAATGTAACCAATGTAGTTTAAGGAAGTTACCTAATTAGCTAAATAACTTCATGGAGCTCAGCCCTTCTTGAGAAGCAGCCAGTTGTACAGCTACTCAAGAAATTCCCAGCCTTTTATGTAACCCGAAGGTGTATTACCATGTTCACAAGAGCCCTCAACCAGTCCCTATCCTGAGCCAGATCAACACATTGCATGTCACCCCATTCTGTCTCTCTAAGATCCATTTTATTATTACCCTCCCAACTATATCTTAGTCTTCCCAGTGGTCTCTTCCCTTCTGGCTTTACCATCAATATCCTTTATGCATTCCTCTTCTCCTATTCGTGCTACATTCCCTGCCAATCTCTTCTCCTTGACTTGATCATTCTAATTAATTTGGCGGAGAGTACAAGTTATGAAGCTCCTCATTATGCAGTTTTCCACAACCTCCTGTCACTTCTTCTTTCTTCGGTCCAAATATTCTCCTCAGCACCCTCAGGCTATGCTCCTCCCTTAATGTCAGAGATCAAGTTTCACACTCACACAGAACCACTGGCAAAATTCGTTATTAAAGAAATTATCAATAATCCATGGATGGATTTAAGATTTATACTTTAGGTTTACGGCTCCGTCAGTAACTACTTTATAGCGCCGTATGGTTTGGTAATTGATGAAGTGAAAATGAAGTGGAAAGAAGTAGTCATGTCCGGTCGCGATGCTCTCCCGGCGCTTGTCTGGAAGGACTGAGGAAAACCGCGAAACCAACACCTCTAAACTACCAGTCTAACGCCTTATCGCTGCCCCAAACCACTCAACACATCGCTGGAGGCGAGAGAACAGCTTCACGCTCTTATCCCTCTAACAGAACGGAGAGAACTCGTTTTAAGTTCTGAAACGTGTGCAGAGCGGTCAGACACGAGGCGGCTGCGGTCGTGGCTTATACTTGCTGCCTGCATCAGAAAGTACGAGTCAGCTGGAAGCGACTGTGTGATTAATGGCACTGGCACGGAGACTGTGACTCTCAGTGCTAGAGCCCGATTCACAACACCTAGAGGTTCCACAACTGTGGTGCGCTGACAGTAACGACGTAACAAAGCTTTCATTTAATTAGGGAAAAGCTGATTTCTCAGTAGTGGCGGTTCTGTATGCATGAATGGAGACGACAAAAACACAGCAAGTTTTCTGAGATATTATCCCATTAGAATTTATTTTGCTGCTGGTCCTCGTCAGCACAGTTATTATTGGTTCCGAATCCCACGGGACTCATGACCATATTTTACTGCCTGACAGCTCTGGGAGCCTTCTCATCACTTCGCCTTAAACCTGAAGTCAACGTCAATTTACGACCGACAGTCAGCCAGTCTGTGTTGGTGTCAAGCCCCATATGGGGCCGAAGGCCAGATTTTTATTACGGTTAGACAGTTGCGGGTTTGTTGATGTGGCGCCCCCGCAATTATGGGAGGATGAGCCTGTCGTTTATAATTGTTACTGGTCTTCGCCAGCGCATTCACTCTCGAGTCTGAGTCCCACGGGACTCATAACCATATTTACTGTTTCAGATTGGAGACTTCCACAACCTGGAATGCCAGGTTCACGCGTCTATTTCCTTCAGGAACAGGATGGCCCCAGACACTGGATTTTATTTTCGTCGCCTGTTACGACTTTAAGGACTGAATTTATACTAAACTCTGTAAAGGTTCAGTTCGTACCTCACTGGAAACAATTCCGTCTCCGCTACAAAACCCAACCAGTCAATGCTGTCTAGGGAAACAGTCACTATTCATTGTAGGAACCATAGGAACACATAAATACACTCTGTGGGCAGAATGTAGTGTTTTTGTATGTTAAAGCAGGTGGTACATATAGTAACCACTTTGATTTAAAAGGTTACAGAATGCGATGTTCCGGCTTACGAAACTGTGTAAGCCGAGAGTGGTAGCATAGCATCGGCATTCTGCATTCATACCTGGGAGGTACTTATTTCGAACCTCTGTCAGGACGTCGGCTAATATTACTGAGGTTTTTCGTCATTTTCCTCAGTGATTTCAGGAATATTCTGGTAGAACTTCGAGTAGGCCACGACTGACTCCTTCTGTCACACCAACTATAGACACTATGTAGGCTACACTCTGACAGCGTTCTTAAATATTTCACAAAGTATAGACTATTTGGAGTGTAGTCCTTTTCAAAAAGTTCACAGACTCTCAGTTATTAGAGAAATTATATACTTTTTATACAGCCCGAAGATTCATTGTCGCTTTCACAACAGCCCAGATCTGAGCTTTGCCCTCAACCAGAGGAACTCAGTCCTCATTTCCGTAACCTATATTGTCACGTTTTAGGGGTGTGTGACTACAGACGGGGTACGGATTGAATATTGGATTTATTGATACATCTCGGAACTATAAGAAATTACAGCGTCACTGATGAGCTCCATACTTTACAGTTCACTACAGCACACACTAAGCCTGTTTCAGCCTGGTATGTTTCAACTGTCGTTCCCTAGCAACGGCTTCTAACTGTGGAGATCCTTCAGCTTCTGGCTCTCATGTGCTCTTGTTACAGCCGCCCGTGCAGAACTCTTGTGAATTATCTCGATCCCAACTGCCAACTATCAACTCAAATATTACGCAATTTCTTCTCAGCTTCCCTTGCGGAGCTCAACCGAAATGCCAACCCTCAACCCTCTTTCAAGTATTCATTCATCTGGTCTGGGGTCCTCGTTATATAGCCTCAGGACGTACTCAACGGAAAACACCGCTTTCGACAAGTCCTCTATTTTTGTAGGCGTGTTTATCGACCTGTTGCCTAGAAACGGCCGTTAGTTAATTCGCCTTTTCCACAACAATGGCTGTATCCGTTATAATTCTTATGCTTCGGAGGTTCCTGTTTGCTCCAACTTCAGGGAAATAACTTTTGTACCCAGAAGATGGATGCAGCAAATTTCTTCAAATATTAATTGCTACCTACAAAAGAACACGGCGTCACATGTCAGAAGACCGTAATATTCAACGCGCTTAGGATCTCAAATTTCGTGACGTAACAATTTTATGTGAGCATAAGGAGAACCTCTGCTGGAGAACTCACAGGAAATTCAACGGTTAAATTTCGACAAATGTGAATGTACCGGTCTGTGCCGCCGTGTAGTCACGTAGACATTCAAAGACGATTCAGAAAGGACGTAATGCTTCCATCTTGAATAAGCTTACACAAAGCATTTCTGCTTGCTGGCTTCTTGCTTGGCTTAACCTTCGACACTGAATATTGAGATAGTACCGGGTGTCCAGATGAAAAGTATCCAAAATAAAAAATATATATCTGGGAAACTGATTGTCATTTATGTCATCAGAAAGGAAAACTCTGAATATTTTTTATGCCCGGCTTACGGGCAAGCGCCGCCACATTTCTGCCACCATGTTAGGAATCACCTGGACAGAGAGATGGCTGGGAGATGGATCGGCAGATGTGGACCAATCGCTTGGCTTCCTAGGTCGCCAGATTTAACGCCAGTGGAGATTGTGGAGATATGTGAAGTACAGTGTGTCCCAGGTTAAGATCAAAGACCTCCAACACCTGAAATCCCGCATGAGGAACGCTATGGTTACAGTAACACCGAAGATGCTTCAAGTAACGTGGAACGAGGTCGAATATAGTCTGGATATTTGTCGTGCCATCAAGAGAAATTTATTGAGAAAGTTATATACTCAGAATAAAAACTTTAATAGTTTCCCTTTGCAATGGCGTAACCCATAAATGGGCATAAAGGATTATTTCTGAGATATAATTATTTTATTTTGGATACATTTTATCTGGACACTCTGTACATTCGTCCGACACTTCTGCTGTACGGCACAGCGTCATATCCAGGTGGCGGTACTCATCCTAGTTGCAGCTTTGAAAATCTCTAAACCAACACACGTGAACGCCATCAGTAGAAAATACCAGTTACGTCAAGGACATAAGCAGTGGTGTTATAGGAACATCTGTATATGTGAAAAGCTCACTTTATTGCACGTCTAAGTGGAGGATGACCCAGTAAGCCACATAAAGTACAGGGAGATGTTGGTGCGTGATGTTAACGCTAAATTAAAAACCTCAGCTTTATGGATCAGTGGAATGCACTCAGCTAAACGTAACAAACGCCAAACTTAACAAATATTTCATTCCTCTATATACATTTCCAGCTTTTCATCTCTGACAGATTATCAAGGCATCAGGAAACACTAGTGTCAATGTTCAACTGTTTCAATTTGCAGCTCTTACTTACTCTACTGTTTTTAGTTCACCCCAAATAAATTGAACTAACTGATCGATATCATATTGCTCTGCCAGTAGCTTCCTTCCCGATTAATAATTCAACTCTTCTCAGTTTAAAATGAAAGTAGCCTTCTCGGGCTATCATCATTGACAGTTGTTTAAAAGTTGAAGACGTACGGGCAATAATATCTATTGCATCGTCAGATTCTGTTGTGTCATGGGATTCAAACGGGTCACGTCAGACCCTGATGATGAGGCGGGAGTTAGCCACTGAAAATTAAGTAATTTTATTTAACTAACAAGGCTGATTGCCCCAGAATGATTTATTGAATGTTTTAAACTTAATGGATGCTGCTAGTGGCATCTGCTACCGAGGATATTCAGTGCAAACATAGGCCCTGAAGGGGGAAATATTGCCACGTATTTGGTGGTGTGCGTGACTTATAGACGGGGTTTGATTTGATGAGGGGATTTATTGCACTCTTATATAACTTGTTACTATACTTCACAAACACACTATACCTCCTCCGTCATCTTCGACTGCCGCCTCAAGAGCCTCCTTCCTTTCTCCACTAACTGCTAACATAGATCTCCGAAACTCGAATGATTATTCTCCACTGAACTTTTCATTATAACCAGCTTGCACGGACCGAATAG